ATCAGGAACCACAAACCAGTGAATTCACTAAGAACTAAACTGCTTTGCTTGAGCAGTGCTGTACTTTTGACTGCAGGTCGATAGCTCGAGCCATGCCTCCAGTGCAAAGCATACGGGAGGGAAAATCCAAATATCTTCTATCCACATTTTAGCGGCATTAAGTTACAAGGACTTCCAAACTGTGTATCACTACCGCACAACAAAGAATAGTAAGGAAAATGATAGCCTGTACACTACAAGAGAAATGTCCCAGCTGTTAATTTAGAGTCCAAAGCTAAGTTTTACTAGAGTGAATTTATGACTGCTCATTATTTAACTTAGTCTAGGATAATAATTAAAGATGGTACTCTAAGGCGAATTCCCACTGATGGGCAACAGCATCATCTGAGACTCCAGCAAAGAGTAATCAGACACCTTTGGGGAAGTAATCAGGCATCTGTGAAAGAAAACTCTGATGTCAAGAGCCCCTCACATGGGATGCTCGTTTAAGTGTTGTAAGGCTTGCAGCACGTTTAATGAGACAGAAAGGTTAAAGGGTTGGGGTTTTTTTTTCAGCACTAAAAAACATAAAGAAGTAACATTTGATGGTCCTAATCAGCAGCAAAATAAAATAGGCAAATATTGTTGCACATGGGGTACATCCTGAAACAAGGAAATGAAACACCTTTTCCTCCTGGTTTCCATGCCTACACCTTTACTGAAGCAGGTAATGTTTTGTAACTACATCTCTGCTTGATGGGACAACATGTGAAAGTAGTAAGGAACACGCAGACTCAGGTCCTTGAACTGGATGGACTTTTATGTAAGAATTCTGCCTATTTGTCCCTGAAAAGCAAGGTACACTATTAAACTGATAAATAATCAGCAATCCCTCTAGCACAGGTGCTTGAAAGCAGCCCATGAAAAGGCAGGAGCACAATATGTGATGTGACAGAGCAATACAGTCCTGAGGCACAGAGGACAGGCCAGAGAAGGAGGCAATTTTAACAGAGATGGTCACGTGCAAAAAATCAAATGCTGCCACTGTCACTGATGAATAGTTTACAAATACATTCCTGGTTTAATATGTCTGTACAGGGAACTTTTCAAAACTTCATATAAATCAGTACCGTAACACCGGTGAGCCCTCTTGTTAAATTTTACAGGCCTGATGATCTGCATGATTTAACAGCATGATCCACTGTATACCTTGAATCTCTGAAAGTTTCATCTTCTTAAAAAAATATTGATGTATGATGGTTTATTATCGACCCACCCACTGCTGCAATTACATAGCTGAACAGTATTTATCCTGAATGGTAGATTTCAGAAATAAGATATTTAAAGATGACCTGTATGGCTTCTTGAAACAGCTCCAGGCTCAACTTAAGAATCAAGCTCAGCTCATGGGCTCTGATTCAGCAAAGGTCTTATGCATATGCTTTTATCCCAAGCGTACAAGCAGTCCTCAAGAGAACTGTTTTAAATCAGCTTTTGCCAACAGGAGGAAGGAATGAGATAATGGAACCAAAGAAAACTCTTCTTGCTAAATACTAACACAAAAGAAAAACTGGAGTTTTCATTCCCAAGTGAAAAATTAGCCCTCTACACTATTTCAAATTAGCTAAAATATTTTCGCCATCTTGTATTCTGATGATTGAAAACACCACTCCTCCATTCATTGTCTGTTTGAAATTAAAAAAGAGGAGGGAGAGGAGAGTAACTGCAAAACAAAAGGCTGTTAGCATTCATATTGGCTAACAAACTGGATCCAAATGCACTGACAGTCTTGGTTGACCTAAAGTAATCTTTCCCAGAAGACACTGTATTTACCAAATGCCACCACTTACAGGGCTTTGCTAAGGAAATACTCATGAAAACTGGCATAAAGTGAGAAGTAAGTTTTCCGCCGGTGTACCTGCAGGTTATGCTACTGGTCATGGTTCTGTGACCTGAGATAGCTTTGATAGCTGGGAGAAAAGACATTCGTGTTTGGTGCCAAACTGTTCAGGATAGCACGTTTGTCAATGGACAACTGGCGAGCTGCATCACTTTGTGCTGATCTGAAATTCCCTATTCACCAGGGAATTCTGAAAATTATTCTGAACACTATGCAAATTGTTCTGGGCACATTTTCCTCCAAAACAAGAAAGGCTTACATAACGAATGCTACACTGTTTTCTAGATCAGCAATACTGCCCACAGACTTAATAGAGTGTGACAGAGGAAACAAATTGCAAAAATTCACACCGACAAACAAAACCAAACTTCCCCTCCAGAGCTGAAGACCATCACAAACCGTATCACCTTGCAGCAAATGAAAGACCCAATTCTGTGACCTTGCCTTTCTCTACAATACACAAATCTAAGCACGGGGAGGGTACACAAGAGCCAACATGTGACAGCCATTGGTCACATTGCTTAACGCTATGTGGAAAGCATTGAGATGCAACCATGAGGTGTGCAGAAGAATCTGCATAAAATAAATTTGTTATGCTAACCCTACACGCCTATATTTGTATGCTACACTGTCTGGCTGAGAAGCGCTCCATGCACTCGGCTCCTCAGTACTTTTGCATGAGTGACACTATATAAAGAGGTACTGTATTTACTAGCTGAATAAACAATAGGTTTTGCTTTCACTCAAGTATTATGACTTCAACTCATTTTATTTATATGTCAGTAGTTCAGAATGTGCAGTGGACCAGGCACATCATCACTGTTCACCTTTGTCAAAGAAGGGGCCAGAAACATCCACGTTGTTGTATCTCTGGAACAGCTATAACTCATTCCTGTAACCTTTGGAGGATACGCTACAATCCATTTTGTGTTAGCAACAGTGCAGCAACCTATTTATTTTTAAGTTCATGAAAAAAATGCACCTATTTTCAGTGTCCCCTGGTGTGCACACAACCCAAAAAGTGACAAGTTGACAGAGCCGGTACAAAAAGACTGGCTGCCCAGCCATTAGCCTCCTATAGCAAAAGCTCAAGGGGAAAGAGGAAAAAAAAAAAAAAAAAAAAAAAAATTCACTGACTCTAGCATCATCCCTGCCATGCTGGGAATGTTGTCAGATCATCCCTGGCACTCTGAATGTTGTCAGATCACGAGAAATGCATGCCCCCCACCTGAGGGTCTCTCCTGAGCATGTCGTAAGCTGAAATTCCCAGGCAGGCACGAGTACAGAGCATTACAGCACCTGGACATGATGGGAGAGGACCCAGAGAGAACCTGCTTAGGAAACCTGCCCCCAAGTATTTAAGGTGTCAAGCACCCAGGTACCAAGCTATCTAAACGTGGACTAACGGTTATGCGGCTCCCTTGCTCCTGTAGACTGGCTCACACATCATGCTAACTAAGCCATGTGCACTTGGTTGAATCCGGGCCTTGGAGTTCTTAAAGATCAAAGCCAAAGCGAATCTTTCCAGTTATTCAAGTGCTCCTTCGGTATCAACACTTCCAACTTCAAGATCAGCCCATTAACTACAGACCTTAGCGTTTGTAATGCTCTGTCAAAATTGTGGGTTTCAGCTATTTACTATGGGGTTGAAAATCACCTAAAGCATTTTTATAATCTTAAAAACCATCCAGTGAGGCGAGGAAACATGCAGGCATGTGGCCAAAGCAGTAAAATGTCTTTGAATATTATACCACATGTACCAGAGGTACCTTGGCTGCACTCAAAATAAAAACTAGTCAGTTTTGTCACTTTTAACATAACGTAACCTATTAACTTTCATCACTGTTCTGGGTAATATGTACACAGGATATAACTGAAGAAATAAATATTGACACATGTTGCTGTTAAAACACTGATTGGAAACTGCAGGCCAGAGCACCAGAGCATAGCAGGGTTACTTCATTCCCAAGATCTCCTTCTCACTTCTGATGTAAATTCTCCGTCCCAAGGCTGCCTTTAATGTACATGAGGTTTGTGTACGTGTATATTATATATAAATAAATAAGCATGCTCACAGAATAATGAGCCCTGAGAAATACACTCTTCCAGCACTCTCTTGGGAGGGTGAGGTTGCTGAACGCAGCTGTTTTCATGATTCACATCCTCTAAAAACTACGCTCTCTGTGCCTGGCCAGGTGAAAATGCCAGGTACGAAAGGGAAGCTTGTAAATCTGCTCAGCTGTTTCCTTCTGGCAAACTGCCCCTCTCTTCTTTACCTCTACCCAGAACTGGTTAAGCATCAAGCACTTCTCAAGACTGAAGATTGGGAAGTGCATGTCATTCCTCCTACCTATAAATAACACCATTCAATAAAATAAAGGCAAATAAAGGTAGTAAATGATATTTATTTCTAGTCTTATTTTATCCAGTACACACTTCTCAGAATTTTTGATGCGCTCCTCTAGCCAGGGCTGTCTGTGCCAACGTAACGACTGCAACCTCTCTCCCACCCCCGTCCATCCAGCTCATTATCCAGTGTCTGACAGAAGCAAGCACCAGCTGCTCTACAAAAAGACACATGAAACACTTCAGCAAGACATGAGAAAATCACCTGCCTATAAGGAAGAGGTTTTTTCCCCCCATCACTGTTACCAGCAGATTGATACAAACGTTGAATTAAAAGGTCAACGGTTCTTCAGAAGTCTTGTTACTGTAAAAATGAAACCCATAGCCACATCTGGATACTCTATTCCTATTCAAACACCCAATGAGTCAGTGCTAATGGGGCCGAAATTTTACCTCTGACCTTGTCCCTTCATGTTTCCCCTTTGTCAGGCATCTCTAAGGCCCTACAGCCAGTTGGCAGAAACAGGGACATCGCCAGTTTGAGACTCACACATTCTGGGGCTTTATTGCCATGGCACCTTGCGACAGTGAGTTTCACAGGTAATTGCAGGTACCCACAGTATTAGTTAATTAATTGACACACAGCAACGAGGAATGCCTGCATAACCTGCATTACTTCTTTGGTAGCTCATGGCTATCCTTGACACCATTTGATGACAAAGTAGACCAAAAAAAATTCTATTAGTCAAGTACAAAATTCGTAAGTGTAATCTACCTTTGGAAGCTTCTGTGCCGAGTGGATTTTCCAAGATGTCTGTCATATCTTGGCTCCAAGCATCCTTCACGGCAGACTTAGACACGTTCCTGTTGTTCAGTTTTTGCTGTGGTCGGAAGTTATTTCTCAGGTACTCCACAGACTTGACGTGGTCTTGCTGTTCAGTGGTGAATATGGAGTAGAATGCCTCCAGCTGATGGCAGCCATCGTGGCAGGGGAGAGAAAGGACGTTAATTAGAAAAACAATGTGGTGAAATCCGGGTGGCTGATAAGAAAGTAAAATGGCAGGAAGTAAAATGTTGATGCCAAGACTGATAAACCACATGGGAAGTCAGGCTGTCCACTGAAATCACTGCCAACCGTCTTATCTCGGCACAGTGCTTATCCTGCCCAACAAGGGAGAAGGCCTTCTAGCAATCTGTGGATGTCTGTCATGGGCAAGGAAACATTTGCCCTTAGACCCCTTTTCTGGAAGGATTTCGTGCGTGACACAGCCACGCCAAACCCTCCTCACCGCTGGCACTGTTTTGTTTCGCAGTATCGCGTCAAAAAGCGCTTCCAGGTCATTCCACCTCAAGAGCCTTCTCCAGGACAGGGCGAAGCTACCTTCTCTCAGAATACCGCACGAAGTCTAGCTGCCAGGCTAAGCTTCACAGACAGCTCTTGCACCACTTTCACAGGGAGGTCACTGCAGTTGTCACACCTTTACAGGATGGACACCAAAACCCGTGAGCTGGCTTGCCCAGCAGCAGGTCAGTAGCAGAAGGGAGCAACCTCAGGACTACCAGCTCCAAGTGTCTTGACCTCCCTACCAACCACTGTTTCCTCTGATAGCTAACTACAGGGTGGAAAAAAATAACACAGAATGAATGTATTTAGGCACAGTTAGCATATACTCCTCTGGGAATAAGTTTCTTTTGTTGGATTCAGATCTGAGCTATTTTTAATAAAATGTATTAACCTGTAAGGAAGAAATGTAATTGGAAAACTTTTCTGTTACTTCATATCTTACTATTTCTTAGAAAGAAATTTCTACCAAACTAAGGTGAAAACATTTTCAGCTGATGTCTTTCTCACAGCTATCAAGGTCAGTATAACATTTAGTAATAGCTTGTTATCATTCCGGTCAAGAACTAGAATTAGTTATGTTGCTGCTGGAAAGACTGAGCAAGACAGAGCGGAGAAGGATTCAGTCCTGATATTGTTTACATCAGCATCAATTACATATATTGATAGTATGGATTTGGGGAGTACAGAATCTGGCCCAAGACTTTAAAAAGGGACTTGAATTACATTTGTAGCTTAATGACAGGTCACTTTGAAGCTACACACTTTTCATTAAGTGCATCTACTCTAAAAGCTATGGAGAAGTGTGTGAGAGTCCCGAAACTTGCAACTGGGAAAAATTATCTTTGTAGCCTCAGTTGACCCACTGAATCAAGAGGCACTCACTACTGTTATTTAATTTCCCTTCACACCAGCAGTCTGAACCCCCTTTTGCTGCTGCTGTCCAGCCTGCCCAGTCTGCTGGGTTTGACGATGCTAGTTATTTAGGCTGAAATCTGTAAAACTTCTCTGACCCTCAGGGCAGGAAAGAGTCAATTTTTACACATTTCATTTCAAAAGTAAGTCACCCTGGAGTGGGTGGTGCGTTGAACCAGCTAATGGAGATATGTATAGGAACGTTATCAGTGGGAGCAGTGCATGGATAGTGGGAGGGAGAAAGGATGGACCTCACAGCTCTAATCCTGAATTTGACAGCTCTGCACTAAAATACACAAACAAGGGAACTGAGTCCCGCTACAGGCAATCACCTCTGAGATAACAGCACAACTCAGGCTTGTACATTTTTAGCAGTAGCTTCCCCTTAATCACAACTACTTTTACTGTACAAGCAGGGAAACTGAGGCAGAGGGACAGCAGGTGACCAGCAGGGAGGGGTGACAGCCAGCGACCAGTTCCCATTGCTGGCAGGAAGCTCAGGTACCGCTTCCAGCCTTGCAGGTACTGATGGTGGGATTTGGATTGTACTTTTTCTGCACCTTAGATGAATGCCTTATTCCTTGGTTCTCAACTGCATTCCCTCTCTGATTCTTCAGAGAAACACCTTGAAAAAATCTTGAAAACAGTTTCCTAATTATTAGCAGGAGCCCCTCAGAAGCATTGACAGATGGGTTAAGAAAGGGGTAAAGGGACTATTACCTTACACTTCTGTCTTAAGAAAAAAACCAACTACAGATGATCCTGCTATGACCTTCTATACAAGCACAGACCAAAACTCATGTGAATATTTACATATCTTTTGCACTTCATGCACTGGAAGCAGTTTTGATGAAGCCAACTAACAGGGCTTAAGGTTACTTTATAAAAGCTCAAGAACTTGGGTAGCAACTGCTTCTCTGAAGTCAAGTCTCTAGGCTGATACATGCATGACATTAATTGAATTTTTAAACTTTCAGAGAGAACTTTTAAAATATTTTCTTCTGCCATGCTACCTTGGGGAGGTATAATTGCATTTTAACAACTGCCAATTCAAATATGATTTTTAACCTTCCCCTTTTATGTGTTGAAGTATATATAAGTCATTTCAACTTCATTTTTACTATTAAAATATTATCTACCACAAATGAGAAATTAATTTATCTATAGCTGCCAGAAAAAAAAAATATTATAAGAGCTGCAGTCAAGGAGCTACATTCATGCTCTTCAAGGAGTACAAGAGCTCCTGTTCAGAAGAAGAAATGAAAAGCTGTTGTAAGACTATTGTAGATACAGGGAAACCTGATCTAAAACTCCGAGTCATGTAATTACAAACCATTAAAGCCTGATGTGCACAGTTTTCTAAGGGTTGGATATACAAATGGCAATTAAAAATACTGAAACTGTTATAAGCTCAATGAGATACTCTGAGGTATGCATTACAAGAGATAATGCCATGCTTTGGGTCATTGAATGCACTTAGCTTTACAATGCATCTGCAGGGTGACACGGCTTGTCTTGTTTTGTTGTCTAATTATCGGGAAAGATGACGATGATGGAGCACCGAGAATAAAATAGAGAAGCCTCCACAAATGGACCACTTCAGTACTGTCCTTTTTACAGCAAGGTATTTTGCACAAAAGCAAGGATTTAATTGGAACAGCAACAAAGCTTAAACAATATCACTTTCCTCCTCTGGGATTACAGGCTGCTTCACGGGGTTTGTGATAAAGAAGGTTGAACTATGGCAATGGATTATGTTGCACTGTTTCTGTTAGAGGAACAAATAATAATCATAGCAATGGCAGGGTGGCAGGCTCTTAAAATACACCCATCTAGAGCTGCCAAGGGGAAGAATACTATTATTTATTCCACATGTGTTGTAGTATCAATGAAAGTCTGTCTACACACAGAATTCCCAGCCCTTCAACCACACATGCACGCATAAAGCAGCACAACGCCAAATTTTAAAGGCTTGACTTGGCACAGTTACTATTGTACAGCACAGGAAAGAAGCTATGCCAGGATAAAGTACCTTTATACCATTATAGTGATGGCCGTAATTGGTATTTATCAGTTTGTTTGCATTTGTTAAAAAAGAAAAAGAAAAAAGAAGTCATGACCCACCTGATGCGTTTACAGGGTATAAAACTGAGCGTGGGCCAGGCCTCGCAGCCACCAAATAATAAACAGTAAACTTATTGATGTAGTGAAAAGCTACAAGGGATTGCAAGTATCCTGCAGGCAAGGACAGAATTCAAAATGATCTTGACAATCAGAGAAATAGCCTGAAAAAAACAAAGGGTCCGATTCAACTGGGACCATGTGCAAAGAGAGTCCCACGCTTCAGCCAGAACCGCGGGCTGCATGAACACATGAAGTGCTCAGCGCTGCTAGAGAGCGCTCTGGGGAAAGCCTCTAGCGAAAGGCTTCCTGCTGACCAGGAGCTGAACATAGGCAATAACGTCAAGCTTTTGTGAAAAAGGCAAAATAACACCAGCAGGGGTGGCCGGACACATGACTCCTGCCATGTCCCTCAGCCTCGGGAAGGCCCCAGCTGAAGTGCTGCAACCAGTTTTGAACGCAGCCCTTCAAAAATAGAGAAAGGGTCTACGGGAGAAGCAATAGGATCTAGAAAACATGAGCAAAAGCCTGGAGCAGGGGCACGGTGATTGCCTTCCACCCTTTTGAAATCTTTGAGAACCAGCATCTGTCAGTCACAATCACCTAGTGAACTATTCACTTACGCTTTACAGAATTAGTGTATTTAAAAAGTTTTATTTTCAGTGGCTTATGCCAGATGAATAAAAGGAGAGACTAACTTCAGCAGGACGGCTTTCTAAAGACAACAGTCTTACAATGTCAAAATACACTTAACTGGCAAACATCTGACTCCATCTAGCCATTACTTTATCGAGAGCTTTCTTCCCCAGACAAATCACGGGCATCGTGTCTATTTGCATTAAAAGCTGCTATGTGCTAATTTTAAAGATTTGTGCACCAGCTCTCTGAGCACATAATGGCAGCTTTACTGTGTTATAAAAACAGTTAAGCATGGAGAATTAATGGAAAGATGTCTTTTCTAATGTAATTAGTTCAAATTACTAAATCTGAGCAGAACTGAAATCACTCACTTTACTTTGAAAGGAAAGTTTCAATTAAAAAGAATAAAAAGGAATTCCATGTAAAAATTTACACCATAGCTTAATTTAATCTTAACAAAAACAATACCAAATAAATCACTGAAAGGAAACTGGTTTTCATGTTGTACTGTCTTCTTAAGACTGATGGCTCATGTTCAGAAACAATTTTACTTAAGAGAAAAAAAAATATCACCGACACTTCCTTTTTTGTCAACAGAAACATTTTTGTTCTCAAAATTAAAACGGCGGGTTTTGAAAACACTGTCTTAAAGAGGGCAAATCAAGAGATGGACTTCACTAACAAAATAAACACACCTGATGGTAAGAAATGGGAACAGGCTTCCGAAAAACGATCCACTCCACGATCTCGCTACACGGAGGAGTAGTCAGAGAACCTGCGTAGCGGTAATAACTCCCCAGCGATGTCGGCAGAAGGTCCCTCAGCACAAAGGGATCCAGAAAGGTCTCCTTCTCTGCAGGGAAGATTGACAAGCAGAATTACACTTTTTTTACATGTCTTTAAAACAGACATCACATTGATAGGCAGCCTAACAAGGTGTAATGGCAACAACATATTTTATCATATATATATAATGAAAGGTGAAAACACCCTATCGGGAAGGCTCTGTAAGAGTTGAGGTGTTGATTATTAAAAGAGCAGCCAAAATGCTAGTCAATCCTATACTGAACACACACGCTCCTATTTTGAACATGTGCAGGTGTGAAATGCCCTTGTTATTCCATTGGTTTACGTTAGCACAGAAATAACACCGTATTCAGTGGTTTCAGCACTCAACAAATGGCTCTTCAGCTTGACGGCCGTGAGGGCTCCCCAAGACCCAGCGGGGACACAGGCGGGCCCCAGTGGTCCTGCTTGCTGCTGCCCCACCAAAGACCCTCGGGTAGTGTCTCCATCCCGTCCCAGCGGTGAGGGAAAGGGATGGAGGAGCAGGGTCAATCCCTCTGCAGGTTGCTGAGATGGTGGAGGCAGAGCCGTGGTGCTCAGCCAAACTTCTCTGGGAGCTGCCAGGGGAGGAGCTGCGGAGCAGGGCTGCAGGGCACCTCTGAAGCTCAACGTGATGCTCGAAGCAGCGTCCAGCTGGTGCTCATTTGGGACTGCCTGTGCCCGGCCACACGGACATTGCCGGGGCTGCTGCTGGGTGCAGGAAGCACAGCACCAGAAACCTGTTTCAGAGGTAAACCGGCTGCCTCTTCTCCCTGACCTGAGAAACTCCTTCCCAGGGTCCAGCAGTCCGGGGACAACCTCTTTCCTCTGAGAAGCTCCTTGGACAGCCTGAAATGCAAACCTAAGCACTGAAAGCATTTAGCTTCAACTAACAGTGACAAGCTGGTAATATTTAACACTGTGAAGAAAAATAAATAAATGAAAGGAGGGAACAGCTGCAGGCAAGACAATTTCCCTGCCATTCCTGAGCATTTATCCTCTGCAATTTATGTTGACTCACAGGCCAAAGCTCCCTCTCAGCCTGTGCAAAGGTGTTCACTGCCTCAGGGCATGCTGACACATGAGGCTCTCCCATACATCTCTATTCTTCACTTTCTGTATTCTTCGTGCCTCAAACAAGAGTCCGCATTCGGGTAGCAGGAACTCTTCTCTTTCTGTCTCGTCAGAGCTGCTAAGCAAGCCTGCTCCCCCTGCAGCAGAGCAGAGAAGCAGGTAGGCTGGTGATTGACACACACATCTTCCAAAGTCAGAAGGAAAAGAAAAAGGATGAAGTCTACAGAATTCACTTCCACAGCATCCCACGGTTTTCTAGAAGTCTTGATCAAATCAAGATTGCCTATACCTCTGAGCAGCAGTCTGATAATCAGGGGGATTTTTTTCCCCCACTGCTGCTGCAAGGTGCAAACAGACGATGCACTTCAGACATCTTCTGTTCTTCCCCACAATATCAACAGGCGTGCAATCTTTTCATAGCCTTTAGCGTTCCAAAATATGAGTAGTTCTATTAAAGTCAAATACTGCAATCTCTTCATTAACAATTTCTTTCCTTCTAATCCAAGCAGATATCAACCACTTCTGCATCTCCAAAAAGGTGACAAATAATAAACCACATTTTTTCCTCTTCATAGCATGCCTCTGGGAAAAAAATGTGCTTAGATAATAAATAGTAAAATACATATGATTGGCCAAAGTTCAAAGAGATTCTAATCAAGAAGTCATTATCACAGCAAAAGGTCGTATTTAATTTGATTGGCTTATTTTTATACAGGAAAAATTGGTTAGAAAAACTGCAAACTCAGTCACAGGATTTGATTTCCAAACGCAGCACGCATCTTCACAGTGAAATGACATGGGTTTTCTATTTAAGAAACTGTCTCTCTCTATATGGAAGCTGAGCATACAGTGGACCGCTACGACTCTGAAAGAGTATTTGAACATGCAAACATCCTTTTTGCGTTAGCAGCCAATGACTATATATGAAATAGATGGGAGGTAAAGGCACACTTTCTTTGTATTTAACGAAGAATTTTTCAGTTAAAATTAACAATTTAACTATTTTTGACTTTCATAACCTTTTATTTAGAATGATGGAATCACTTAAGATGCTGGATAAACATTCTGTGAGAAAACGAGAATATGGAGTATCCCTTTATCAAAGGATGGCAGGAGAACGAAGCTCATTTTACACTTTCAAGGATTTTTGTGCCATATGCTGACAATATTATATTTTAATAATTAATTGTTCATCAAAGGAAAAGATGAAGAACAGGGATGCTAAATTCAAAGTTATTCAAATTGCAAAGATGAATAATGCATGACTTTTATATTAAATACACACTGTATTAAGTAGTCTACATTTCATCCAACTCTGTCTTTCATTTTTAAACATTTTGAACTACAATATGAATAATCAACCAAGGGAAGCTTATTTAGACAGAGAAATACCTTATTTGAATGCAAACTGGAAGTATCCGACTATGATTACATTTTGGTTATCAATTAGGGAGATTTTTTTTCCTAAGCATTTGGAAAGTCATAGTCAGCTGTGAAAAAGAATATTTCTTGAGGAAAAAGTAGCTTTGCTAATACACAGTTTAAGTAGGGCAGGGTGTACTCGATCTAATTTTTCATGGCTACAAGCAATGCTGTAAGTTTTCATTAATGAATTCCAAAGATTAAAATTAAAAAAAATACATATAATTGGATTAAAATGACTACTAAAATAGATGATAATCAATTGATTATGCTTTAATAACCCAACACTTTTGAAAACAGATGATCCATTTCTATCACTTCCATCTAGATGTATGGTGCAGAGTTTTAGAAACTAGAGTCACAAACACATCTTCATGTGAAGCTTAAAGAAAAAGGGACTTAGAAATTCAGGAGTCTACCTCCCATATCCTTCAAGAGCATACAGAAACAGGAAATGCCATGAAGTTACGTTTCTAAGAGCTTGAGACATTTTTGAAAATAGGATTTTGAAGTCATGTCACTTTTAAAATTTCAACCTTAAAACAGTTATTGTTGTTGGTAAAACTGTAAGGAAAATAATTTGCAAGCTAAGCAACAGTGTTCACTGAATACGTTAGAAATATTTTATATACATATACATACACATATATGTGCATATATGTAATTCCTACTAAATGGGAAAGAACGAGGTTGGAAATAATATCAAACCTTTCTTCATTGTCTTTTATGATCAGCTCCTATTTCCCATTTTCAGTGCTTGGGATGGGTATGAACTGTGCCCAGGAGGCTGGGAAGAGACTGAGCAGGGTGAGGAGTTTCTAGAAGGGAGAAAGCGGACAAGGCTGGGAGCTACACGATCTACAAGACAGCATTTGCTGACAGGTACTAGGAAATAACTGGCAGACAAAAGCCATAAAACACACCAATGAAAACCTGCAAATAGTTGTGAACCAATGCAATCAATGCTACAAAACCAATCCATGAGCCACCTACTTGTTCTTACACATAAACCAGAGCCCCACACCCACACTCTTCTGCTGCTCCTTGTCCTCCTCCCATCTCAGCACCGGAACGCAGACAGGCACCCAAGCAGGAAAAAAACCAACCAGGAAATCGGAGGCCCAGAGATGGTGACCCTAACGACAGGCCCTCGAACCAGAGAGCATTCCTCTGGGAAAGCAACAATAAACGTGCTGCTGCAGCCACCACTCCCAGGCAATGCAGAAAAGAGCACCACCTGAAACATCCACTGAGATGCCTCACTAAAGCAGTACAGCTTTTTTTTTATCGACGGTTAACAAACAGCAATACTTTGTTTACAGCACCAAGGCTCGTAAAAAAGTGTTCACTCTAATATTTCCAAAGGAAAAGTTAACAAGTACCACAGATTGACTGTTGACAATTAAGACAACGAATGTGACATTTAAACTACTGGGTGTTCCACAGCATAAAAGGACAATATTGTATTTTAACTCTTACATCCACAAACAAAACAATTAACAGAGCCAGCTGGTGACATACTTGACCTTCCGATACAACATTCATGTCTACCTCTTGTTCCTTCTCCCATGACAGCAATGTGAAAAGTCGTACCCAGTATATTCTTTGGGCTGGTAAATCTCCCCACCATTTTGCATGGGACCAAGGGCTATTTTTTGTACAACCCAACTCAAAGGCAGAGAAATTGTAGGCATGCTTTAAAAAAGCTGACCTATTTACACTCTTTATTTGTCAAGGCATCACCACTAGATGTGAACTAATACTGAATTGTGCACAATAGTTTTCTAAGCAGAGGAAAAAAACAGATCTTAAACCAGATACCAATAGTAGGTCTCCACCAACTACTGCAGTTTTCACAAGCTGATGCCAACAAATATTATATTGCAAGAGCCATCAGTTGAACATTTTGAGTTCAAGGATTGACTTGCTAAAAATATATTTTCTGTAAAACACTGGATAGACCTGAATTTTAACCAAATCACTGTAGAGTAAGAGGCTTCTTGAGATATGCAGGTAAACGGCATACAACTATGTGTAATCAAAACCCCTTTTAAACTAACAGGAACTTGGACTGGAGATCACAAGAAAATAACTATATGCCAAGTCCATTTATATCTCATGGAATGCTTTGGGACTTTTATCATGCTTTTCTGTAAGAAAACAGGAACTTGGCTGCATTGAAAACAATATCTTAAATATCTTAAAATGAGCTTATTTCCAAAATTAACGTATGTACAATTCCTGATAGGTGGAAACGTTACCCAGCTACACTTTGAATCACTAAAATCTGCAATACCAATATGAAGAGCTTTGAAAGTCTCCCAAATTTGTTAAACAATGTTCCTGCCAATTTCATTTTCACAATGAGCCAAGTCATTCTAAAGCTTCTGCATTCAAACATTTAAAAAGCAAACTCACAAAAATAATCAAAAGGACACCATGCCGCACACCCACTGAGCCAGAACTCCCTAGATAAGGCAGGCTGCACAGCAGAGCTACGGACCAGATTCACAGTGGTGATTTTAAATATGA